GAGGCACCTCTCTTTGGCAAGGAGGTGGGGGAGCTCAGAGAAGAAGGAGGGCAGCAGAGGCTGCCAAGAGGACTCCCAAGGAGAGGGGAGAGGAGAGCAGGCTGAGGGAACACTCCACAAGGGAGGGTGCTCAAAATAGGGTGAGAGGCTGCCAGCTCTGCAGGCAAGGGGTGACATAACTGGGCTCCTGAACCCCACAGGGGTACCATGGAAAGAATGTAGTTGGTCAAGGCAGCTGTGGACTCAAAAATGGCTGTGAAAAAGATACTACCTGCTGCTTCCATACAGTGCTTAACGACAGCATATTATTCCATCACTACTAGGGATGGGGCAGAAAGTCAGCTCAGGTGCAATTTAATGCAATTTTAATTCATTCTCACTGCCTGAAACAATACATTAACTGAAGCATTATTGGATGTAGAAGTGTGGCAAACTGAACAACAGATAAATGAGGAACTGAATGAAAGAAAAACTCCCATATTCCTCCACCTCTAACAATTGCAGACCAATAATGACAAGCTGTTTGATGCACTACACGGCCAGACACTGATTGCCACCCAACACTGAACTGTGAGCTGTTAATCTAGTTTTGCAGGTCTACATCTATGACAAATCTTATTAGTTTACTTTTGTTTAAAGATGCAAGAAATGGAAAAGTGAATTGAATTAAGATAAGGTTACCAGATTTTTTTCCATTGAATCTGGGGACACTTTAAATACATACATACATACATACATACATACTACACGTTCAGGACAGTGATGCTGCAGTGATGGCAGTGGGAGAGGGGCCGGCGCTGCTTTGACCTCAACCACCAGGTTTCCCCTTCCTCCTATGCTTCTATCTCCTTTCTCCATGAGCCTAGGCAGCCCCTGAGTTGTTGGTTCTTTGGTGGTGGGGGTGGGTGGGTGGGTGGGGAGGCGGTGCACGGTGGATCAGCAATGGAAGGTGGAGAAGGAGGGCCGAGAGCGGCAGCGGCGAGGCTCAGGCAGTGCGATGCCTCCATTCCCATCGGAGCAGCCCCAATCCCATTCCTACTTACGTGCAAGCAGGAGGGGGCAGGGATCCCCTCCCCTTCCCGTTGCCTAACTGAGAGATCCCTGCCCCCTCCTGCTTGCACACAAGCTCTGATAGGCAGCGTGAAGCCTATCTTCACAGATGTTGGGAGGCTGCTCCGATAGGCTGCGTTTCCCGGGGACATTAGATGAAATCCAGGGACATTCCGGGGATGGAATTTGTTGAGGGACTTATTCGCAAATCCGGGGACTGTCCCCTGGAAACGGGGACGTCTGGTAACCCTAAATTAAGAAAACATCTAATAATCTAAAAGGTTGTACAATCAGTGCATATAGTTAAAAAAGCAATTTTAATCATCTAAATCATTGACCATAGTAAAGGAAACTTACCAAGTGACCCAAATATCTTATCAAGAACAGGGGATTTTGGTCGATCTACAAAATATTCTCCCTGATGGACAAGAGCCTCTTTCACCAGGTGTAATCCATTCACAACCACAATCTTTATGTTTCCAGTCTGAAGGCCGAATACATTGCCATATTTTTCTGCAAGCTGAATGGAGACAGTAAGGTGAATAAGCTTTATTGTACTAGCCAAAGTCCATGACAAAATACTACCAGGAGAAGATGTATCAACATAACTATATAATTGTATATAAAAAACAGAGCCACTGCCTGAATTGTCAAAACTATAAAGTGCAGACGCATGTGTAGTTTGGGGGCTCCACACAACATAGTCCCCCCCCCCCCAGTTTAGACCTCTGAATCTCCCTTACTGCAATTTTGTCCAGGTTCTTCTCCCTGATCTTTTTTGCCACCAGCACAAAAATGCCACATTATGTGTCACTGGAGTATTAGTATCACTGAGCAGCCCTAGAACCTGAATGGAGATGGAGGAAGAATATATAATATCCTATCTAATATATTATATATTAATTTGTTGGCCGACTGGAGGGAGAGGGAGAAATATGGCAGAAGGAAGCTTTGATTGCTGTCAAGTGGTTTCCAGGGGCTGTAAATGGACAGGCCCCCTCCATCCTCCACCTGCAATCTATTCACAAGAGTTGCTGCTTATTTGCATGTAGTAAAGCTGTTGCAAAGATAAAGGGGGAGTGAAGGTAGGGCAATGTACCTACCTACATGTAATGTACCTATGTACCAATGTACAATGTAAGTACCTACATGCACACACACAATATTCTGCCAGCCATAGAAAGCAAATGGCAGTTGTGGACACAGGTTTGTTACAAATAGCTGTTAGGTGGTGAGGGAGGCCAAAATCTGGCACCCTCAAATAGATTTTCTCAATTTTGCGCCCACTTGGCTGGGCATCTTATAGGGAGAAACTTCCCACACCACCCTAAAGCTCTTTCCTCCATCCTTACCTTTCGTGCTGAAATCTGAGGCTTCTTGAAATCCAGATGTAGTGTGCTACCCAGAAAGGGAAGAGGCCTGGGCCCTGGGGGGTAATTCCTTGGGCGAATCTGTTTCTTGTAATCAGCAATAAGTAGAAATGTTGCCAGAAACACCAGAACGACCTGCAGGGACAAGGCCTCCCAGAGGACAGAGAGCAGCTGGAGCAACATCTTCAAACCCACCTAGGTGTTCTTATGTCAGAACAGATGGCATTGTGTCAAGGGAAACTTGATTCTGCTCCAGCTACAGTAGCCACACCCACCCTCTTGGCTAAAGTTCCTGAAATAAGGGCAAAGTTTGCATATATTATATATCACGCCCACAAAGAGGCAGGAAGGAGATGACTTAATGACTCACTGTACCTAGGGGGCCAGAGAAGAGAGTGGAGAACAGCCGCTTTCTGAATTAGAATATTTCCTTCCTGTTTTCACTTTTGTGAAACAGTAAAGGATACTTTCCTTCATGACATTTCTAAGGGGTTTTCTGCCACTACAAATCAAAGCACTGTCCATAAAGAAATTAAAAACATTTACTATGGAGGATGTCTTCTGTTCCTGACATATTTGGACCGGTGGTAGTTTCAGCAGCTCTGCCCGCTGCCTAAGAAGTCAGAGAAGTAAACCTGCTTGCCTTCTGTTCAGTATTGAATACGTTAGATTTTGCTTTGGCAACAGACTGACCAGCAGCTCTCCAGATGTTTTTGGTCTCCAACTCCCAACAGCTCTAGGTTGTATGGTCAACAGTCAGGGATCAATGGAGAGCCCTCTAGTACTAAGATAGTTTTAGCCAGTAGCAGACCATGTAGAAGGGGGAAGTTTTGTGCAATGCAAATGCATTGCCAGGAGCTCTGGATTGGCTCCATCAGTGTTTTTACAGCACACCAACATCACCGTCACATTGCTTTCCCCCTCCCAGTAAGCAGGAGCAACTCAGCTCTTGGGAGGTCTAGTGAGACCCGCCCGCGTGGCTAATGCTCCTACAGGAAATGAGGGCAAAGTCCACATGTATTGTTATCTATCATGCCCACAAATAGGCAAGGTGATGACTTAATGAGTAACTCTACCAAGGGGGAAGAGTTATGATATTTCCTTCCTGTTTTCCCTTTTTAGGAACTGTAAAGGTTACTTTCCTGCCGGACATTTCTAAGAAGGTGTTTCTGGCAGTGCAAATCAAAGCACTGTCAATAAAGAAATTTAAAACTTTTACTAAGGAGGATGACTTCTGTTCCTGACACATTTGGACCAGTGGTGATTTCAACAGCTATAACCAATGGCTAAGGAGGCCGGAGGAGTCAACCTGCTTGCCTTCTGTTCAATATTACATAGGTTACATTTTTTTCTGGCAACAGAATGACTTGATCTGGGACTGGCAACCAGTACGTCTCCAGCTGGTTTTGGGTCTCCAACTCCCAGCAGCCCCAGCCAGTATGGCCAATAGACAGGGATGATGGGAGAAGGATCATTCAGAGGGCCAGAGCCCTCTAGTACTAGATAGTCTTCTCCAGTAGCAGACCATGTGAAGAAGAGAAGTTGGTGCAAGGCAAACACATTACCAGGAGCTCTGGATTGGCTCCATCAGTGTGTTTACAGCACACTAACATCACTGCTGTGTTGATTTTTTTCCTCCCAGTAAGCAGCAGCAACTGAGCTCTTGGGAGGTCCAGTGAGTGCTACCATACCATCTAGTTCTACTCTTAGCCAAGCCATGATCTCTTAGCCTTGGTTCCCCATCTTAAATACAAATACTTAAATACTAAAACTGATGATAACCAGGTGGCCAGGTGGAATTGTGTCTACAGTGGAGCTGAATGGCAAGTCCTTATTCCTGCCTCTGCGCACGTGGAGGATCAATGGCTGCAAGCTACAACAGCATGGACTTCTGCTGGGGGAGGTCAAGTATGAAAGCACCCAGTCACTAAAATGTTGCTGTGGAAACCAGAGGCTCCCACCTTTCGGGGCCCAGGGGTACTTCTGAAACTATTGTGGGGACCAAGAAATAGCTATTTCACAGAAGAAATAATAGTGATGGTCAGAAAAGCTCTGTCTCCAGAACAAAACAACAAAATAACTTTCATTATTATTCATCTTAATATTTCCAGGTGGACAATAAGTTCATTGTTCTTTAAAACCCAGTTTGAATTGTTAGTTTCAGTACTGCCAAACTTGGGGTAAGGAGCACATCCTGTTGCATTATTTGAGAGATTTCTATAAGCTCCTTCTCCCCCAAACCCACTTGTATCAATACATGCCCACCTGGAGACACCCACCATCCAACAGAGGGGGGGAGCCAAATACCTGGGTGTCAAATACCAGCTGTGCAATACTTTCAAAGATAATTCCCTCACAGAAGCAAAGATTGATTTATAAGGCAATTTCCACCACAAAACCTCCCAGTCTCTATCACTGAGCGAAAGCTGGATATTTTGTTCCCAGCACAACTTCTAACCAGCAGGTCCACCTACAGTGGCATCCAATATAATTTTAGAAAGAACTGAGAGCCTTTATTATTCAATAATAGTTGTTCAAAGGCCTTAAGACTCCATGTTCCTTCTCCCAAAGAACAGCACAGCAGAGATTGGTTCAGGCCAAGCATACATCAAGCCCAAGACTCTCAAAGAACTGCAGGCACAATATCCCCAGGAAATTTCTGCTTGAATGTTTTCAACTTGACACAATAGTACTGATGGAAATGGAGCATACATCTTTTGACATTCTCCTCTGCCCCTGCCCCTGTGAGTGCCAGCAATATGCACTCCCTGACAGCCAAATTGCCACTTTTAACTATTTTCATGGAAAACACTTTGCAGACTCAGTTTTCACCTTGTTATCCAGCATGTTTATTAAAGAACAACAAAATTGTTTTTGGAAAATAATAAAACCTGGGGAATATTCATTGTCCACCATACAACTCAAGAGTTCTATGCTTAACCCATATATTTAGAAGCACATTTAAACTCTGGCCTTGGGGTTTGGGCCAACAATACAGAACAGAGATAGTCTCAGGGTCATGGGTTCGAGCCCCACATTGCGTGAAAGATAGGGGGGTTGACCATATTCCCCAGCGTTAAGTTGTTGAGCTTTTTTTGGGGGGGGGTTGTTTAATTTAAGATGAGGATCTATAAATTTTGTTGTTGTTTTTTAAAAAATTGCCCCTACTTTTCTCAGACATTTTGCCAATTCATCAAAAATCTGCCCAGACATCATTTTGCAGCCCAATTCCTGGATGTGTCCGGGAAAACCCAGATATATGGCAGCCCTAGATTACCCCTGGGGTCCCTTGCAACTCTGAAATTCCACGAGTCTATGAGTCTATGAATTGGTTTTGTAACAAAATTTTCGAAGCAACATTTTCTAATTTTATAAACATAGGCAGGAATTCCATTAGAGCAAGCAATGCCTTTTCTTCACTACAACCAGACATAATAATATTAAAAATAGTGGGATGGGGGATAGACCGCCTGACCAAGAAGTGGGGGGATAGAATTTGGATCCTCACCAATGAAACAATATTATTTGCATACATACACGCCCCCGAGAATCATGGGAAATGTAGTTTACCCTTCAGAGAGCTACAATTCCCAGCAACCTTAAGTTATAGTTGCCTGAATTCCTTGAGGGGGGGAAATGTGAATTGAATGCACTTTTTTTAAAGGTACAGGCTGCAATCCCAACCCTACTTACTTGGGTGAAGTCCTAATCAATTCCGGCTTAACATAATTAATACTAAGCCACAGGCATGTTTCTGCCCCACAAACTAATCCGACTTTTAAAAGAAATGACAATGCTATAAGATGGGTCCCTTAGCGAGAGAATGCGCATATCCGGTATGGCAGAGGAGACAATGCCAAACCCATCCTATATTCACGGCTTAATGTCTCATTCTTTGGAGCCTGGAAAGTGAATTTCTGAATTAGGGCAGTGAAGAAAAGAAAGAGCTCAGTCCTCGCCAACTGCTCTCCCAGACAAGCTCGCTTTCCTGGAAGAGAGGGAGAAAGAGACTTTTTCAGTGGAGAGCTTTTGCTACAGTAAACAGCTGCACAGTTTAAAACAACACTGAGAGAACAAATACTTTAAAACAGTATGTTGTTGCAAAATAAAGATAAAACTCAGTCCTCTGTATTCCCTAGTGAAGCAAATGGGAACACTGAACAAATATGATCATGGTTTTTGAGAATTTGGAATAGATACATTTCAATTAACATAAATTTCTCTCATATGTAGTTTCGGATAAAATTTCAATTTCATGTTTATTTTATTAGGAATCTCCCTAATGTGCATATAGGTTACGTAGCTAAGGGTGTGGCAAACAGAGTTAGTTGCTCAAGTTCCAGATGGAAGTAGGTTTCTGTTCTAGGGCAGCTGAGAAAGGTCCCAGTAAATATTCTCTAAAAAAATCCAAACTGCTTGCTTACTGGGTGGAGGGGGGGGAGTGTATCAACATCATTTCATGTAACATCCCACCTCCAATGGCACAGCCATTTTGTGACATGCACACAGAGCACTTCCGCAAAATCCCAAATGTGACCACTGGTCCCAATAGGGTGGTAACCCCAGCAATACACAAGGCTCTCAGCAACCAAATCACCATCATATTGTCACTGTTGCAGTTCTGATGAGCAGCCCATGAACTTTTTTACCTGCAGAGAATGGCAAGAACGCTTCCCTTTTCATGAACTGATCATTTTTCAGGAAATGGCCAGGATTAAACTCATTGGGTGTTTCCCACTCATCCTTGTCAAACAGCACAGAGGTCAAATTGGCGAGCATTATGGTTCCCTGGCAAAGGAGAAGCAGAGAAGAAAGTAGATAAAAATGACAAGGGGCTTTCGAGTACAGTGGTACTTCGGGTTACAAACACCTTGTGTTACAAATACTTCAGGTTACAGACTCCACTAACAAGGAAGTTGTACCTTGGGTTGAGAACTTTACCTCAGGATGAGAACAGAAATCACACAGTAGTGGCGTGGTAGCAGCGGGAGGCCCCATTAGCTAAGGTGGTACCTCAGGTTAAGAACAGTTTCAGGTTAAGATCACACCTTCGGAATGAATTAAGTTCGTAACCAGAGGTACCACTGTATTCTCTTTGAAGTTATAGCAGTACTAAGCCTCAATAAATAATAATAATAATAATAATAATAATAATAATAATAATAATAATAATAATATATTATTTATACCCCACCCATCTATCCCCTGACAGAGCAAGGATATGTTCTGAAAGCAATATTTACTTCTCATTATTAAGTAATTCATCCAATGAAGTCCCACAAAAACACAGTTCCAATATAGATTTTAAAAGACATTCAAAGTCAGTTTGGGAATCAATATGGTTTCCTCTCAAAGAAAAAGAAGAGAAGATAGTAGATTAAACTGGCAGAGAACTCTTTGTGTTTTTATCTGTGCAACTATCTACAGCAGTACTGAGCCTCCTGGATCCAAGTCCAACCATTCTTGCCTATTGCTCATGCTGGCTCAGGTTGGTAAGAGTTGGACTTGAACAACATCTGGAGGACCTCATGTTGGCCAACCCTCATTTAGAACTCTGGCTTCAAGTTTTTGTATCTTGAAGGAAGAGGAAAGGAAAATAAGAATGGTATACAGTGGTACCTCGGGTTACAGATGCTTCAAGTTACAGAGGCTTCAGGTTACAGACTTTGCTAACCCAGAAATAGTACCTCGGGTTAAGAACTTTGCTTCAGGATGAGAACAGAAATCACACGGCAGAGGCGGGAGGCCCGCTTAGCTAAAATGGTGCTTCTGGTTAAGAACAGTTTCAGGTTAAGAACGCAGCTCCAGAACAAATTAAGCTCTTAACCCAAGGTACCATTGTATCGTCTTAATACTTACTTTGGGAATATGAAACCCAGCGAGTGTAGTGTCCTTAGTTGTCATCCGGGGCACATTCGCAGGCACAATGTTGCTTATTCTTTGAATTTCATGAATAACCGCATTGGTATACGGCATGCTGTCCCTGTCATCCATTGCTGGCTGGCGAGACTGGCCAATCACAGAATCTATTTCTGCTTGGACTTTTGCTGCAGAGAAAAGAAAATCTGCTATCAATACAAGGAGAACAGACATAAACCAATATCTGCAAGGAAACTGCATCTTGATGTCCCACCACTGAGTACCCAGTAGATGGTGACAAGGGATAGACCCTCCTGAGTAGCGGTATCTCATTTGTGAAATTCCCTTCAACTGAAAAAGCACACAGGACTTTCACTAGTCAAGTTTCAGCAATGCCTTAAGACTTCATTCTTTTATTGAGGGGAATGTGTGTTTTCTGACGAGTCCACCTGAAGCTGCAGTATTCCGACTGTAATGAAAGGCAAATGAGTCAACTACAGTTCTACCTTGAATTTCTGGGTATATGGCCATGTAGAGCAAAGCCCAGCGCAGGGTTGTAGAAGTTGTTTCTGTTCCAGCAAAAAACAAATCCAGTGTTGATTGTAGGAGGCTTTCTTCATGGAAACTGGAAGGGGCATCCTCCTTAAAGCAAAGAAAATGCACCAGGAAGTTCAGCAGTCATTAAAAACTCCATCCTACTGCAAGACCCACATGGCAAGAGATCACCAGGGGATTCAGTGACTCTAATCCTGCATCTAGGGAGGGCAAGTCAACAGTCCTGTGAATAACTGATGCTGGCATAAAGTTTGGGTTTGTTCTGGTCAATAATTCCTGGTCTGGGTTTATTCAGGCAACTGAATCCTTTGGTCATGAGATGCCTTCACTACAGAGATTCTTTTAGTCATGTCAACTATTTGCTCTCACAAACCACCGACTAGTGGTGAAATCCCAGCAGTGAACAAGTGGGGTGGTGTCTCCCCACAAAATACATGACCTCATATTCTGTGCATGCAGAAATGTATTTTGTCTGAAGTCATAAATTCTACAGAAAGAATATGGTCAGGCACTAAGGACCATTCAGACAAGCCACGTGACTAGTTCTGGTTTTTAATATTGCTTCTCTGCCTTCTACTACTGTTTTGTTATTAAAGATACATACTTTTTTACCTTTTCATCTCTCACCTTGGCCATTTCATTTAGGTAGGCATCTATGAAGTCTCTGGGTTCAGATGGGTTCCAGTCTTCTTTGTGTTTTTCAATGATTTCTCTCACAAAGGATTTCAACTGCCCCCATTTTTTAAAAAGTGTCTGATGGGGTCCTGGCAAGTGCTTCATGACAGTAGGAAATGCATCGTACAGCTGAGGAAACAAACACTAATATCATATATGTGAAGGAAAAACCCTCTCAACAATCATTCACATCATGCTGCTGTCATGGGAAAGAGGCTAGCAGTAATAAAGGGTGGTGTGCACAGGCTCAAAGATGGCAGACTCTCTTGGAACCTGAGCAAATATTGCACTCACCACTGCTTACGATGGTACCACATGGCAATGTCTTCACTTCTTGGTTAGAATGTACAGATTGCAAATCAAATGGCATCATTGTGGTTAGTTCTACAAACACAACTTGTAATTCACTGATTGACTTCCCAAGAAGATGATTACCATTTTGAAAATGGCATGTGCCAATTGCCTGCTGATGTCAAGAATATTCAGGGTTTCCCTTTGATGATGCCCATCTGCATGGGGCTTCCATTCACAGAACAGGTTTGTGTAGGATCAAGTCACACCCTGTTCACATACACAGAGATTTTATTCACAGTCACACATGTGACAGCCCTCCTATTAGTAATTTCATTCTCTCATTGCTGTTGGATCTCGTGATGCACTGTTTACATTCTATAGTGATAGGAGTGTGGGAACAGAACTCAGACACTGTACTAACATTCTATGTGCTTTTGTACTCTTTGTTCTCTGCTTTCGGACAGAGGAGACGTGTGTGAAGCTGCTGGTCACACTCAGCCATGTTTGTTGTTTCGATCTTTTGTAAATAAAGAAGCTTTTGCGATGACAAATACCTACAGCCTCACTTCTTTGCTGATACTCTGCTAATGCTAAGAGCGTGCCCACAGCTCCACTGGATGTGGGTCACTGGACACCTGCGTACGAGGAACAGATATACGCATACCTCCAGCCACTTAAAAACACAACCTCTGCTGTAATAAACAATTTCACAACCCACATTGCAATATTAAAGTCTTTAGTGCCTTGATAAAAAATGCTAGAAGGCAAAAGGATGAGTCAAGAGACTTGAATGAATAGTAAGGGAGAAAACAGGAATCAGAACATGAAGAAACAGGAGGACCCAAAGCAAATGATTGCACAGTCAGCAAGAATGTGGGAACGTGTCTGGAATCAAAGCAATTCTGTTGAACTCAAAGAAGACCTACCATACTCCAAAAACTTCCCTGAAGGTGGCTTGCCTCATCAAACAGGTGCAATAAATTATGGAAACGGCTGTCATGGTAATCAAAGCGGTCCCCAAAAGTGATGGAACAGATGATATTTGAAACAGCATTATTAATCTGAAAGTGAGGGTCAAATGGCTGCCCTGGAGAGGAAGAGAAAATGGTGCAGAAGGAATTGGGGTGCTTCTAGCTTCCATGTAACAAAAACAGTAGGCGGGGAAAGTGGTTGGATGTTGATGAGACAGGATTTGTTTTAGCTGAAGAAATAATTTCATATTAACATTATATCTTGTAATTTAACCTGGGACACTCAGGACTCTGAGGCCCATTTATATTTATTCTCCATAGGCAATGATTATTCTGCAGTATGGTGATATTGATCTGAGAGGCAGGAGGTCAGGAAAGGGCATTTTTGTAACAATGCCTGTCAAAAAGGATAAGGACCGTCCCCATCAGAGACAGTATAGAGACACACTGATATACCAAAACTATCAAAAATCTGCAGATATCCTCAAAACCCAACCTTTGCTCTTATTCTGTTCTAGTTCAGGGGCTTTTTAGGGGCTTTTAGCTCCCATGGCAGGTTCCCGCACAGAGCTTCACACTAGAACTTTTCTGCACCACAATGAGCCTTTGTGGAGCTTCCTATCAACACCCCCTTCGCCATCACAGGGTTATTCCAGTCCAAGCAGAGCTACATTTGTGTGAAGAAATAATGCCAGAAAGCTTCGCACCCTAGCTGATGAAGTTTTGACCTAGTTCATACAAAGTAGCAACTTAAGGTAAGATGGGCCACAGGATTGTTGACTTTGGTTCTCACCTTTTTCAGCTTCTATTGCTTCGTTTAAGTAACGGCTTTCCTCCTGTATTCTTTCTTCTAAAGACCTTTTGCCCAAACCAAAGTTTCTGAGTGTTGATAAGGCAAACCGTCTTTGTTGTTTCCAGATGAGACCATTAGAGAAGACCAGCCCTAGATGGGAAGGAGTAATAAGTACGTAGAGCAAGTAAGTAGATTTAGCAATCCTGTTAATTCCAAGATGGACTCCTCTTTGCTTTCCATTATTCTGCTTGCCTGCTCATGACATTTGGAAAGACTGCAAGGCATTAGAAACTAGCCAATTTGTGCTGGTGCTTTTATCTGGTTGCTCTGAATTCTGCCGTTTGCTGTTACTGCTGTTTCATTGATGCTTTTTGTGTGTTTCACTGTTTGGGTAGATTTTTTAATACCAATTTTATTTTGTCCTGTGAAATACTGTGGGAACTCTCGATAGAAAAGCAGCATTAAAAAAATACTGACAGGTGAAAAAGTCATGCAGTTAATATATTTTGTTCCTTCCTCTCCTTAAGCCACTCAGGCTTTCTTTTTTCCTGGAATTAACTGGTTTAGATTTAAAATGGGGGTCCCACTCTAGCCCCTTCTGTAATTATTCACACCCTTCCTTTCCTCGTGGTTAATAGATTTATTTTCTTTTTTATTTTTGCTTCATTTTGCTATGTTAACGTCATTATCCCTCCTTAGGTTGGCTTGTGAACTGTAATCCTTTTTCCAGGATTTGCCCTATAAGTAGATAAATGACTATGAAGAAGATATTACCTGTTCCTTTCATGCTTAAGCACTAACTATTATTCCATCTCTACTAGTGATGGGACAGAAATTCAGTTCATCTTGAATTTAAATGTAACCTTACTTCAGTCTCACTTGCTGAAACAATGAGCAAACTGGAGTGTTACTGATGTGTAAGTGTTTCAAACTGAAGAATGGAAAAATGAAGAACTGATTGAAAGAAAAACCGACAGATTCCTCCATCCATAATAATGCCAGGTTCTTATTTACAAGCTGTTTATCTTCAGTACTCAATACTGAATGGTGAGTTCAGTTAATTTAAACAGTTTAGTAGGTATACTTTTATGACACAGCTTACTACTAGTAGTTTAAAGATGCAAGGAATGAAAATGAAGATTAAGGAAAGGTCTAACAATGAGTCCTGAATATTTAAACTTGAGGAATAATCTAAAAGGTTCCCCAATCAATGCAGACCATTAAAAATAAAAAATAAAAAGGAATTATTTAATTATCTAAATAATTGACAACATTAAAAGAAACTTACCAGATGACCCAAACATTTCCTGGGTACCAGGACTATTTGGTCGATCTACAAAGTTTTCACCCTGATGGACAAGAGCCTCTTTCACCAGATGCAATCCATTCACAACCACAAACCTCATGCTTCCAACCTGAAGACTGTAGACATTGCCGTATTTTTCTATAAGCTGGATGGAGATTGAGGAAGAATGTAAGAAATGATTTATCCTCTCTCTATATTATATATTAATTTGTCTGCTTAGTGCTTCTTGAATGCCTATATGGAAGAAGGGAACTTCTTTGATTGCCATCAAATATATCAGGGACAACATAAATGCCAAAATGGTTTCCAGGGTCTGTACATGGACAGGCCCCCTCCATCCTCCACCTGCAATGTATTCACAAGAGTTGCTGCTTATTTGCATGTAGTAACTTTGCCTAGTCTACCACACAGAGTTGTTGCAAAGATAAAAGTGGGGAAGGTAGGACAAGGAGCAACAAAACATACAAACACACACAAAAAATACTCTGCCAACCATGGTAAGTGAAAGGCAGTTGTAAGATCCAGATTTGTTACAAATAACTGTAGAATAAAATAGATCCTCAAAGTTCAGAGGCAAAACACTTCTGGATACCATATTCTGGGGACAAACAAAAAGAAAGGCATTTTTCTTGGTGCCCCACATATGGGCTCCTCGCAGACATCAGGCTGACCTCTCTCAGAATCAGGATGCTAAACCTGGAAGCATCTCCACCTGCTTCTCCAGCCAGGGTCTTACACTCCTTTCCAGTGCAATGTAGGGGCATATTTTGGTAGTATGGCACCCTGAGAGTGACCAAAATCTGGCACACATAAATGGATCTTCACAATGATCGATCCTCTCAATTCTTTGCCCACTTGGCTCAGTGCCCTATGCCAGGGAACCACTTGCACCACCCCAAATCTGGCACAGCAGTGTAGTATTTAATTCATGCCATAGGTTTTTCCTTCATCCTTACCTTTTGTAATGAAATGTGAGGCTTCTTGAAATCCACATGTAGCATATTACCCAGCAAAGGAAGAAGCATGGGCCCTGGGGGGTAATTCCTTGGGTGAATATTTCTCTTGTAATCAGCAACAAGTAGAAATGTAGCCAGAAACACCAGAACGACCTGCAGGGACAAGGCCTCCCAGAGGACAGAGAGCAGCTGCAGCAGCATCTTCAAACCCACCTAGGTGTTCCTTTTCAGATTGGTCTGCTGTCTGCTGAGGGAAACCTGAATCTGATCCCACTAGAGCAGCCACACCTGTGTTCTTGGCTAATGCGCCTGTAGGAAATGAGAGCAAAGTCTGCCTATATTGCTGTACATCATGCCCATAAAGAGGCAGGAAATGACCTAATGAATGATTCCACCAAGCAGGAAAAAGAGAGTGGGGAAGAGCAGCAATCGGAATTAAAATATTTCCTTCCTATTTTCACTTCTTTGGAACAGCAAAGGTTAATTTCCTTCATGACAATTGTTCCTTGATCATTTGTCACCCCCTCCATGATGGCACCTTGGGTGGCCCGTCCCCCATCCCCCTTTCCTATGCCCCTGCTTTCATGTGGGCCCCATTGCCATTATAAGAGAACAAGGGAGGTGTTGATGGTATGCAATGCGGGTGAGAAATGGAGGACAAATGGCTGCAAACTACAAAAGCATGGACTTCTGCTGGGGGAGGTCACCCAGTCACTAAAATGTTGCTGTGGAAACCAGAGGCCCTAATGTGTTTGGGCCCAGAGTCACTTCTGAAACTATTTAAAGGTAAAGGTAAAGGTACCCCTGCCCGTACGGGCCAGTCTTGACAGACTCTGGGGTTGTGCACCCATCTCACTTAAGAGGCCGGGGGCCAGCGCTGTCCGGAGACACTTCCGGGTCACGTGGGCAGCGTGACAAGCTGCATCTGGCGAGCCAGCGCAGCACACGGAACGCCGTTTACCTTCCCGCTGGTAAGCGGTCCCTATTTATCTACTTGCACTGAAACTATTTAGGACACTACAAAATACCCATTTCACAGAAGAAATACTGAAGCTCAGAAATACTTCTTTCCAAAACAAAGCAAACCACTTACTCCCATGCAAATCAAATAAACCAGACCCTAAAAGCTCTAATAATAATAATAATAATCATCAGGAAATCCCCACTTCCAACCAAACAACATCAGAGGCTTGTACAGGAACTTTGTTGGGGGCCCCATATGTCGATTAACTTCAGGTGCATTGTTTATATAAGCTGTAAACCATATACACTGATAGGTCCTTTAAATTTTGAATTGTCTGTTGCCCAAGGGTTGATGGTTATGATTGTGTAAACATGTTGTCAATGGGATTTTTAATCTACTTTCCTGATCAGTTAGTTCCAAGGAGGAAATTAAATCTTTTGATTATACAAGAAAAGTAATACTTTTTTAAAAAAAATATACAGTAGATCTTCATTGCGTCTTTACGCTATATCATATCGAGGTCATTACTCAACCATAAGATATTACTACAAATAAACAAACTAACAAAAAAGATAATCAGAATCCAGATCAGATCATAGCATGGTAAGATACGAAATATGACAACAGAGTTAATATAAACAAAAGCAGCATTTGAATATTTAGTTGTCTTCCTCTTCTGTTACCTTCTTGCAAAATTTCTGGAAAACATAGGCAGGAATTCCAATAGAGCTAGATGTGGAGATGTGAGCACACCCTTTTCTATAAACAAACCAATGCCTTTTCCCACTGCAGCCAGAACAAGCTTGTGTTCTGTCAGGCTCAGACCCAGAAGCTCCTAAGGATCCACAGTTGTTGTTTTCAATTGATTTTTATTGACATTTTCTCAGAAAAAGTAAGAAATACATAATAACAAAACATGTATAACAAAACTTGGCTATGAACTTAGTCCTGGTACTACTGGCTGGTGCATATAAGACAAGAAGAGGTAAGGTGTAGAAAGAACAATCTGGAAAAGCAAGATCTAAGTGTTTAGGTATAACACGAGTGCATAATGGACATTGAAGATCTGTGGGGAGGACTGCTCCCTGTTGTCAGGAAACAAATTCAACAGTTGGAAATCCCGCGGCAACATGACTTACCAGCTGCTCTCTTCAGTGACGGGAACCAGTTAGAGCTGCACAGGAAGACCTATTCAGTAGGCTCTTTAGAAGAGAGCCAGAGGAAGCCCACAGTGTCTTGGGGCCCTGGCCTTGATTCTGACCTTCCTTTACAAAGGGTGAAAGCAAGCTATTTGTTCCCTCTCCCGAGAGGGGAGAGGGAGAAACAAACAAGACCTTTATTCCTGTTTTGAGCCAATGAGCAAACTGCAAGTTTTGGACACAAGCTGATAGAAACAGCCCAGGGTCCTAAAGACCTTCTGATTCCTGCTTTTCTATCCAGCTTCTTGTCTTGCTGTTCACTTTTCACAGCAACTGGGAAGCACAGGTATTCCCTTGAAGTTTTTTGTGCAAATAGTGGGTGGGTGGGTGGCAAAAGCAAAGTGTTCTGCTTAAGTCCAGGCACTCAAAGATCCCTATATAGCAAATTCTAAGTACAATGTACACATCTTTACTCAGATGTAATTCTCATGGGGCTTTTAATGGGGCTTTGTCTCAAGTAAATCAAATTATAGTAGTCAGGATAGATTAAGAACAGTTGAAGCATCATAACTGTACTAAATAGTGCTGCTCCTTTGTTCTCCCTCCTTCCTCCCAATCAAATGAAACTTCCCTGGCTGGTTACTCAGAAGTACCGTATTTTTCGCACGATTGGACGCACCGGACCATAGGACACACCTAGTTTTTTTGGGGGGAAATAAATGAAATTCCCCCCCCCCCCTTTATTTCTGCCCCAAAAGCAGGTCAGGGAAACTGAACCAGGTCGAGGAACAGCGGGATAGTGGCGCTGCGCCTCCCTGCTGTCCCCCGAGCTTGTGGGGCTGGCTGATGTCTGCCTGGCGCGCGGGGCGCTCTGCTTCAGCGGGCCCCACCCGCCAGGCAGCAGGCTGCTATCCGCAGCGTGGGGAGCCCTGTGGGGAACTCCTGCAAGGCTCCCCACGCTGCGGATGTGTTCCCGAAGCGCTGGGCGCTCTGCTTTCAGGGTGCCCGACACTCCGGGAAGCAGGCTGCTATCCGCAGCCTAGACACGGCTAGCGGAGCGCTGCATTAATCCCGAAGCTTGGGGCGTGCGGAGCTCAGCGCGCCCCAAGCTTCTGGGTGCTGGCAAGGTCTCCGCTAGACGGCTAGCGGATACCTTGCCGGCACCCAGAAGCTTGGGGTGCGCTGAGCTCCGCACGCCCCAAGCTTCGGGATTAATGCAGCGCTCCGCTAGCCATGGGAGAGCTGGGTCTCCCACGGCTAGCGGATAGCTTCCTGAAGCCTGGAGAGCGAGAGGGGTCGGTGCGCACTGACCCCTCTCACTCTCCAGGCTTCAGCGAAAGCCTGCATTCGCTCCATAGGACGCGCACACATTTTCCCTTGCTTTTTAGGAGGGAAAAAGTGCGTCCTATGGTGCGAAAAATACGGTAAGTCCCAATGTACTCAATGAGGAGGACTCTCAGGTAATGTGTATAGGCTTACAGGCTCCATCTTAAGGGGGCATGGGTTCATTTACAGTCTGTTTTAGCTATGCGCTGCTGCTGTTGCATTCCTATGGTGTCATTCTTGGTTTTTTATCGTTTACTTTTGTTTTTAGGATTTACATAGACACCAATGCTGTATTTACAAATTATTGGGGGTTAGATGGAAATGCTGAACTATAACTGGCAGCTATAAAATAATATAACAGGACAATTGTTATTACATAAAATAATTTTGAAAATAATGGGGTGGGAGAACTTGTCAAGAATGTATAATTTGCTGCTGAAATGGAACACACAAGATGAAACAGTAAAGTCAGCTATGATTAAATGGGCACAAGACATAGGCCATAACATTATGTTTGAAGACTGGGAAAGGTTGTGGAATACTGGTATCAGGTTTACGGCCTGTAACGTTTTGAGAGAAAATATAATGAAAATGATCTATAGATGGTATATGACCCCAGTCAAACTTGCAAAAATTTACCACTTGCCCAATAACAAATGTTGGAAATGTAATGAAAGTGAAGGTACCTTTTATCACCTTTGGTGGACCTGCCCGAGGATTAAGGCCTACTGGGAAATGATCTATAATGAAATCAAAAAGGTCCTTAAATGGACATTTCCCAAAAAGCCAGAGGCTTTTCTCCTGGGCATGGTGGGCCAATCGGTGTCAAAGAAGGACAGAACTTTTTTTATGTATGCTACCACAGCAGCAAGGATTCTTCTGGCAAAGTATTGGAAGACGCAGCAGCTACCTACTCTGGAAGAATGGCAAGTGAAGGTGATTGACTACATGGGAATGGCTGAGATGACCGGCAGAATCCGTGACCAGGGGAAGGAGACAGTGGAAGAAGACTGGAAGAAATTTAAAGTATACCTTAAAAACTGTTGTAAAATTCAAGAGTGTTGAGATGTTATGGTGTTAAGAAATAGAGAATTGCAGCTGTATATCATAAATTTAAAGGAGATATAATGAAGATGAATTAACAATAAATGAAGGTGCTGGAGGAGAAAACAAGGATGCAGAAAGGAGTATGGGGACGGGAAAAGTGAAGAATGAGTTATAATGATATTTACTCGTTGTTGTGGGTTTCTTAAAATTGTTGGAAACTAATAAAAAAATTTTAAAAAGAAAGAAAGAAAATAATGGGGTGGGGGAGAGACCCCCGTACCAAGGACAGGGAATGGGGACTCTGGAGCCTCATCAATGGATCATTATGATCTGCATACAAAATCACCTGAAATGTGATTTCCGGGAAATGTTGCTCTCTCCGGGGTAAACTCCAACTCCCAAAATTACTACAGTTCCCCAGATTCATTGAGGGGGCAAGTCTGTTTTGAATGTGCTTTAAAGATACATGCTGCAATCCCAAGCCTAATGAATTCTGGCTAAACATAATTAGGATTATGAGGTAAAATTAGAATTTGGATGTAAAATTGGTAATGATACATTGGACTAAGGATATTGGACATAACATACAGTTAGAAGATTGGGAGAGGTTATGGAATGAAGGTATTAATTTTACAGTATGTAGTACGCTTAAAGAAAATGTTATGAAAATGATGTATAGGTGGTATTTAACACCAGTTAAATTGGCCCAAATGTAAGGAAAAAGAAGGTGAAATGCAATGATGTAAAGTTTAATTTTATAAACCATCAGATGGGAGGGAGGGAAGCTGTTAGGCTCAGTTGAGCCAAAAAGATAAAATAAGAGGGTACGATGTTACGTAATGTGATTGTATGTAAAACCAATAAAAATCATTTTTTAAAAAACATAATTAGGATTAAGCCTCAGGTGTGCTTCTATCCCACAAACTAATAATACTTTTTAAAGAATGCTATAAGATGGGTCCCCTTAGCGAGAGAATGCGCATATCCTGTATGGCAGAGGAGACAATGTCACACCCATCCTAAATTCACGGCTTAATGTCTCATTCTTTGGAGCCTGGAAAGTGAACTTCTGAATTAGGGCAGTGAAGAACCCAAACAGGCTCGCTTTCCTAGAAGACAAGGAGGAAAAAGACTGTTTCAGTGGAGAGCTTTTGCTCTCCACTGAGTGGCACAATTTAAATAACATGGGCAGATCAAATAATTTAAAAAGTAATTATGTTGTTGCAAAATAAATATAGAAGTCGTTCCTACTTCTCAGTCAAGCAAATGGGAACACTGAACAGAATTTGGAAATGATACATTTGAGATATATAAATTTATCTCATAAGCAGTTTTGAAACAAAATTCAATTATATTTTATTAGGAGTCAGCCTAATCTGTATATATCTTAGGTAAGGGTGTGGCAAACAGAGTTTAGTTGTCCAAGTTCCAGATGGAACTGGGTTTTCTGCTCCTTGAGGAAACATTGTGGAATCAGCCATACAGGTGAAATTAAGACTTTTTAAGTGTGTTGTAAGGTGCATTATACAAATGTGACATTAGATGGCGATGGTAAGCTATGGCAAATTCAATATTCTTTCTCAAAACATTTCTTTAAAAAGCATTTTCACAAAGCTTTTTAATATTTGTCTAGAGTCCACCATTGTAAAAGTACACCAGGTGTTGCCCCCCAGCTTGTATATTTGAGTTACATCAATTGATATTTTCCTCCAAAACTGCATATGAGATAAATTTCAATAATATTTTATTAGGAATCTCCCTAATCTTAGCTAAGGGCGTGGCAAACAGAGCTCAGTTCCTCGAGTTCAAGATGGAAGTGGGTTTCTCTTCCTTGGGGAAACTATGAAAAAATACATCAGCTGCTATCTACCCAATGCCTTGTGGAGCACCTCTCCCACTTAGGGCACCTGAGAAAGCTCTGGAAATATTCCCTCAAAAATCCACACTGCTTACTGGGGGGGGGGGAGTGTATTAACACCATTTTGTGTAACTTCACAACTCCTATAGTAGTCCTTTTGTGACTTGCATCCACAGTACTTCCTCACAATCCCAAACGTGACCACTGGCCCCAATAGGGTGCTGAACCCTGTAATACACCAGACTCCCAGCAACCAGTGGCGTAGGAAAGGGGTTGCGGTGGGTGCGGTCCAGCCCAGGTGTCATCACTGAGGGGGGTGACCACTGGGCATGGCCTGCAGTGTGCCCGAGCCACATTTCTCTCCTGGGGAGTGACGCGTGGCTCGGGCATCTGGTAGCTCAGTGCTGCCCGAAATAGCAACATGGGGCTTGCGGACTCCATGGAGGTTCTGCCCAGAGTGCTCTGCCCCGGTTTGCCCCGTCCCCGGGTGCAGGATATTTGTGCCACCCTGGGCGTCTGGGCAGCTAGCTACGCCAGTGCCAGAAACCAAGCCACCACCATATAGTCACTGCTGCAATTCTGATGAGCAGCCCATGAACTTTTGTTACCTGTAGAGAATGGCAGGAATGCTTCCCTTTTCCTGAACTGACCATTCTCCAGGAAATGGCCAGGATTAAACATATCTGGAGTTTCCCACTCATCCTCGTCAAAGAGCACTGAGGTCAGGTTGGTAAGCAGCATGGTTCCCTGCCAAAGAAGAAGCAGAGAAGACACCAGATTAAAACTAGCATAGAAATCTTTCTGTTTTGATCTGTGCAACTACAGCAATACCAAGCCTCCAATTCTGCCTGCCAATTCAGAAAGGATATGTTTTGAATGAGAGATTTCCTATGCACAACTCAAGAAAACACAGGCTCCTTTAGAGATTGTATAATACCAGACTTTGCCAGGGCATTTAGATTTAGAATAAGAAACACCAGATGCCCGTTTTGGGTCGTAGTTTTGGGTGGTTAGTAATGGTCATTTAAAAAAGAAAGCAAAGAAGAATACTAGCTATCCATTCAAATGGTTCAGACTGTGGTTGGAATCCATTTTTGCAATGGGAGGGGTCAAAAGACCTAAAAGTCTATTTAGCCCAAATCCCTCCCTCCACTCCAGATCTGGATGTGCCCCAAGAACAACCAAGACTCCTATCCGTCCTGCCCATTGGCCATGCTGACTGGAACTAGTAGGAGTTGGAGTTCAATAACATCTGGAGGACCTCATGATGGCTAATCCTTGGTAGTGGTGCCCTCCCTGTGACATCCTTTAAGATGTCAAGGATATCAAGAACTACATAACTTTTAGGAGACATCTGAAGGCAGCCCTCTATCAGGAAGTCTTTAATGTTTGATATTTTACTATGTTTTATATATGCTATAAGCTGCCCAGGTTGGCTGGGGAAACCCAGCCAGATGGGTGGGGTAATAATAATAATAATAATAATAATAATAATAATAATAATAATAATAAAAACAAAAAAAACAACAACTTTGGCTTCAAGTTTTTGCATCTTAAAGAAAGATGGAAGGAAGAGAAGAATGGTGAATCTTCTTCATATTTACTTTGGGAATATGAAACCCAGCCAATATAGTGTCCTTGGTTGTCACCCGGGGCACATTCGAAGGCAAAATGTTGCTTATTCTTTGAATTTCATGAACAACCGCATTGGTATATGGCATGCCGCCCCTGTCATCCATCGCTGGCTGGCGAGACTGGCCAATCACAGAATCTATTTCCGCTTGGACTTTGGCTGCAGAGAAAAGAAAATTTGCTTTCAACACAAAAAGAACAGACTTGATCTTAGTTCTGCAGGGGAGGCCTATCTTTAAAATTTAATGGATTTGAACAAATACAGACTCAATAATTAAATGGATGAATAAACAAATTTTCACTTATTGGCATCACTTTTGATTTGGACCAATCAACAGAGTATCCTGATATTTGAATAAAGGCACCTATCATTTGCATCAGCACAGGAATAGTGCTGAATCTTTTGTCTTTGTAACAGAAGGAGATTCCTTCAGGAAACTCCCATCTATATTGTATAGTATTCCTTTTTAAGACACTTATTATTTGTCTATATCCTCTTTTACGCAAGGGTCTGGTTGGAATTTCTTTAAAAATGATAATTGGCCTGCCTTCAATTATTAATTTTTTTTCCCGATAACTCGTTCTTAATATTGTATTCTTCATCTCAATTGAGTTGAAGATCACTAAACAGTCACCGGAGAGTTTTTTTGACTTGAACTGTTGGGATTTCACCTTAATTCTGAAAGCATTTACTACCATATATGCTAGTTCTTCTTCTTTTATTTCCAACCATTTCGCTAGTTCATTAATCATTTTTTCTTTTATATTCTCATTTGATTCTTCTCCCACTCCTCTAAATTTTAAATTAAGTTGTTTCTGTCGCATTTCTGCCATGGCTAAACTATCCCAAAATTGATCTTGTGTTTTGTTCAGATCTCTTATTTCATCCTTTATTTTTTCTGTCTCCTTCTTATGTTCCTTCATTTCTTTTTGAATTTTCTTATTGGTATCTTCCATTGTTTTTGACCTAACTGTCAAATCTTGTATTTTACTAGAGAGTTCTCCTACAGTTCCTTCAATTTTTTTATCTATCTGTTCCTGCACCTCACCTAGTTTGCTTTCCATATGTAGTTCGCTCTGTTTAAATTCCTCTTTGATCTTTAGCCACAGAATGTCAAGATCTTTAATTTCCTCCTGTCGTGATGCCTTTCTATCTCCTGGGGTCCCTCCTACTTTTTCCCCATTTTTCCTGACATTTTGTGGTTGTTTTCACAATTTGTCTATTTTAATTTTCTGTCTCTCCCCTAGGGGGCGCACAATCTCTTTTTGCTTTCCTTATTTTTCCTATATCTTAACCAATCTCCTTTAATTTACAGTATTGCTCTCTTGCAATTATACTTTTCTTCTTTTATCTTCTTACAATTTTCTTTATACCTCTTAATGTCGTATTTTCCTTGTTTTCAAACAAAGTGATATCTCTAATATCAATTAATTCAGCTATCTCCTAAATACATCCAATATATATCCACTAAAAATGTCTACTAATATAAATTTGTAAATCCGTTTAAATGAATTAATACTTAAAATAAAAGAGTATGTCTTCAATTACAGCCCAAATACAACTCGACCTTGCCAATTTTCTCAAACCATATGTCTTTATCTACAAAACATAAGTACATTCCCTATACTCTTATTTTTTCTTCAATTACTTCCACACTCTTAATGTATTCCTAATGACGTGTGACGATATGGTATATATATTCCCTATCCATCCCCTTAGGACCTTAACATCTAATGAAGATTCAGTGAATTTTCCCCAGACTCAAATGACCATTACGTATATAAAAAATATTCCTATTAATGTAACTTTCGAGAGTCCACGTGGATTCTGATAAGGGGGAGGTAATTTCCTTTTTTAGCTGGAAATAAAGCACCCAGTTTGCATCAAAATCTTTAACCTTCAGCCACTTGTCGGCTTAATCCATATCGAATAAGGGCTATTCTACGGTTTGGTCCGTACCTTGGTCCGAAGTCTGGTAGATCTAATAATCCAAGCCTTAATCCGCAGTTTAATAATTTGGACTGGACCAAATCTAAAAAGTAGTAAGTCCCAATTTCCTATTCATGTTCTCAAATCCAAGTAATGTCCTCCACTTTTCAGTTGATTCTGTTGTTTTTTTGCTTCAGCACTTAAATGTAAATCTCTCCAAGAAGGGGGGAAAAGGGGGTTAACTTAAACCCAATTTTTCAACAGTTCTCAGCGGATTCCACCTTTCTTTATACTATATTCCTCATTCCTTTATATTGTCTTTGTATAGTATTAGGGGGGGGAAGGTTTTTATTAATCGTACTATATTGATAGATATTGTCAGGGAACTGCCATCGGAAGGACAGGAGGTGGAAAGGCTCACTGAGGTTGAGAGAGACGTAGCAGCTGAAGAGGGAACCAGTAGGGGGAGAGAAGGAACTCCAAGGGAAAGTGAGTCGGAGGGATGGCTCAGAGACGCTTCCAGCGAAAACAGTGGGGAGGTCTCAGGACCTCCTATAGGGACACCCACTCCTCGCCGGAAACTGTCACGCAGAGAGTCCAGAAGACGTGTTTCCGTTAAGGAGCTTTTATGTTGGAAGAGATTCCGAAAGCAACCACTTTCGGACTCTGCTAGCGACTGACGCAGCCATGCCAGAGGGGCTCCGTCACAGGCAGAGGTTTGAGAATCTGATCAAACTCTGAGGGACTTGCATTTTACGCACAAGCAGCTCATTATCCCATCACAGATATTGTTGTTTTTTTGGTTGCTCTTCAGCTAGCCACCTCAAGCTGTTCTTTCAAATGGCTCTGTATTGTTGCGTTTCAAATTATCTCTTTCCCGAAAAGGGAGCAACAAAGTTTTCTAAATAGTCTTTCATCTGTTACCTTGTATTAAATGCTTTAAAGTCTATTTGCCTCGACAAGTGTTGCCGTGGACTTTTATTTTGTACTCACACAGTCAGGCTAGAGGCTACTTCCTTCTTTATCCCTGCAACTTTGTATCCTGCGTCATTTTAACTCCTCTACCAGGATGGATTCCTTACTTTAATCCTTCAACATCCAGCGTTCGCTTAGTGTATTCTTTGAATGTTTAAAGTTAAAATGTTCTACTCACACTAAGGGTCCATTCTTAAGTTTATGGAGATTCGTCGCTTCTTTAGTGGGAGCCAGAGGCATCGCAACACAGGGTCGGTGCTTTCCTATTGCACTTGCGATCCCATCGTCTTCGAGCTCTTCAGCAGAAAACCCCGAAAAAAAGGCCAGACCGCTTCTGCGCTGCCGGTTAGCCATCCCTCAAGGGTACTCCCCTTGAGATTTTTTGGGGTGCAGTCCCTTTGCAGCTCCCCCAAGCCCCTGTGTTGTTCGAAAAGCCCCCGACGAGGCTTTCCGCGCTCCCTTTCTGTCCGTGACGGAAACCGGAAGTCTATTTATTTATCTCTTTTAAAAATTACTTGAGTATAGACATGACTAAGTTAGGTCCATTAATTTCAATAGGTTTGCTTTCAGTAGGCCTTTGTTATATACAACCCAAAGTAATGAAAGGGAAATGAGTCAACTACAATTCTACCTTGAATGTCTGGGTAAATGGCCATGTACAGCAAAGCCCAGTGCAGGGTTGCAGAAGTTGTTTCTGTTCCAGCAAAAAACAGATCCAGTGTTGATTGTAGGAGGTTTTCTTCATGGAAACTGGAAGGGGCATCCTCCTTAAAGCAAAGAAAATGCACCAGGGAGTTCAGCTGTCATTAAAAACACCATCCTACTGTCAGCCCCACATGTCAAGAGATCACCAGGGGATTCAGTGACTCTAATCCTGCATCTAGGAAGGGAAAGTCAACAGTCCTGTGAATAACTGATGCTGGCATAAAGTTTGGGTTTGTTCTGGTCAAGGAAATACCTCCAATAATTCCTGGTCTGGGTTTATTCAGGGAAACTGAATCCTTTGGTCATGAGATGCCTCCACTACAGTGATTCTTTTAGACATGTCAACTGTTTGCTCTCACAAACAACAGACAAGTGGTGAAATTCCAGCAGTGAACAAGTGGGGAGGTGTCTCCCCACAAAATACGTGACTTCATATTCATACATGCAGAAATGTATTTTTTCTGAGGTCATAAACTCAAGAGAAAGAATATTGTCAGCCACTAAGGACCATTCAGACAAGCCACGTGACTAGTTCTGGTTTTTAACATTGCTTCTCTGCCTTCTACTATTATTTTATTATTAAACATATATACTTTTTGTCCTTTTCATCTCTCACCTTGGCCATTTCATTTAGGTAGGCATCTATGAAGTCTCTGGGTTCAGATGGGTTCCAGTCTTCTTTGTGTTTTTCAATGATTTCTCTCACAAAGGATTTCAACTGCCCCCATTTTTAAAAAAATGTCTGATGGGGCCCTGGCAGGTATTTCATGACAGTGGGAATGGTATCATACAGCTGAGGAAACAAACACTAATATCACATATGTGAAGGAAAAGCCCTCTCAAAAAGCATTCACATCATGTTGTTGTCATGGGAAATAGGCTAACAGTAATAAAGGCTGGTGTGCACAGGCTCAAAGATGGCAGACTCTCCTGGAACCAGAGTAAATATTGCACTCACCATTGCTTATGATGAGACCCCATGGCAATGTCTTCACTTCTTGGTTAGAAATGTTTGGACTGCAAATCAAATGGCACCATGGTGCTCAGTTCTGCAAGCACAACTTGTAATTCACTGATTGACTTCCCATGAAGATGATTACCATCATTTGAAAAAGGCATGTACCAATGCCTGCACATGTCACAAATATGGAGAATTTCTATTTAATGATACCCATTGACATGAGTGTCAATTTACAGGTCATAACTGCTGTGTGTGTAGAATTAATTCATGTATATCATTTGTGATGACATCCCTCTGTTCCCATACCAAGATTTTATTCAGCCAAACATGTTATTCTCACCCTTTAAAAATACAATCTGTGCTGAAGAAACCTGAAAACTCAAAGCACGTGAATAAACAGTCAGCAAGAATGAAGGAGCCAAATCAACTCTGTTGTGGTTATCCAAAAAAACCCAAAGAAGACCTACCATACTCCAAAGATTTCCCTGAAAATGGCACGCCTCATCAAGCAAGTGCAATAACTTATGGAAACGGCTGTTATGGTAATCAAAGCGGTCCCCAAAAGTGATATTTGAAACAGCATTATGAATCTGAAATTGAGGGTCAAATGGCTGTCCTGGAGAGAGAGAGAAAATGGTGCAGAATGAATTGGGGTGCTTCTAGCTTCCATATAACAAAAACAGGAGGGGACCATCCCCATCAGAGACAATATAGAGACACACCAATATACTAAAACTATTGCACTTCAAGCCCTACTCTATTTGTGACATTGGTTGTAGAAATTATCAAAAATCTGCTGATATCCTGGAAATGGATAGACTACGGGCATCTGGGAAAGCAAAAGAAGGGAAACTTCCAAAATCATTCTTTGAAATGGCAGAGACCTGTAACTTGACGGACATTTGGAGACTAAGACACCCATTAGAAAAACAATTCACATTTACTTCAGATGCAAATCAATCAATGTCAAGAATTGGTCAGATATGGATATCCAAGGAACTAACATCGAGAACCTTAAAGATTGAAATACAATCAAAAGTCTTCTCAGATCATAATGCAATTAAATGTATCCTAAAAGGATATGAAGAAAAATCTTTCAGATGGAGAATAAATGAAAACCTGCTGGATGATCAGAAGATAGTGGAAAGGGCACAGAAATGCCTAACGGACTACTTTGTAAATAATGTGAATAAAGGCACAAGAATGTGTATTGTGTGGGATGCTAGTAAAGTGGTGATGAGGGGTTTCTTTATCCAGCAAAATGCAATTAAAAACAAAATGAGAGAAAAAGGGGAAAAGGAAATACTAAAACAAATTATGGAAAACAAGAAAAAATTAACTACTAGGCCCAAGGATGAAAAAGTGAAACAAAATATAAAAGTGCTTCAAACTCAATTTGCGATGATAATTAATAAGGAAGTGGAATAGAATATTAAAAAAATGAAGCAGAGGAACTTTGAATTTGCAAATAAGTCTGGAAAATGGCTGGCTTGGCAAATTCAAAAAAGGAAAGAGCAAAATACAATAAACAAAATAAAAGTGGAAGATCAAGATATTGAAAATCCGAAAGGAATTAGGAAAGGATTTGTAGATTTTTATAGAGAATTGTATAAAAGAAAGGGGAGAGGTAATACAAAAGAAATAGAGGACTATTTAAAGAAGAAAGGTGCAGAAAATATCGAATTGCAATAAAAATAAACTGAATGAGCCGATCAAAATGGATGAAATTAAAAATGCAATAAGAGAATTGAAAAGTGGGAAGACACTGGGACCGGATGGATTTAGTGCAAGATACTATAAAGAAATGAAACACACCCTGTCTGTACCATTAAAAGAAGTGATGAATAACATTTTAAAAAAGGAGGAAATACCAGAAACTTGGAAAGAAACCTATATAACTTTTATTCCCAAACAGGACTCAGATCTGACCCAAATGACGAATTACAGGCCGATCTCATTATTAAATAATGATTACAAAATGTTCGCAAACATTTTGGCAAATAGGATGAAAAGAATTTTAAAGGAAATGATACAGAAGGATCAAGCAGGTTTCCTTCCTGGTAGACAGATGAAAGACAACATAAGAAATATAATTGATATAATGGAATATCTGACTAACAGGAAGGATAAACAAGCAATGTTAATTTTTGTGGGAGTGGAGAAAGCCTTTGATAATATTTCTTGGGAATTTATGTTAAAAAACTTAGAAGTGATGGATATGAGCCAATCTTTTCTAAATGGTATAAAAGCAATATATTCCGAACAAAGAGCAAAACTAATTGTCAATAATGTAATAACGGAAAATATTGCAATAACTAAGGGTACAAGACAAGGGTGTCCTCTATCACCGTTGCTATTCATATCGGTCCTGGAAGTCTTATTAAGCTCAATAAGAAACAATGAACAGATAAAAGGGGTATCAGTTGGCGGTAATCAATATAAAGTAAAGGCGTATGCTGACGACTTGGTTATAACGATAGAAGATCCTATAAAGAGTATTAAAGAAGTACTAAAAGAAATGGAAGAATTTGAACAGGTGGCAGGGTTTAAATTGAATAAGAAAAAAAACCAAAATAATGGTGAGAAACATAGACCAAGAAACTAGTGAAAGAATACAGCAACAGACAGAGATTGAGGTGGTAAAGAAAGTGAAATATTTAGGGATTGTATTGACCGCCAGGAATATTGATTTGTTTCAAAATAACTATGTACCAGTATGGAATAAAGTTAAATGAGATTTAGAGGTGTGGGGTAGAATGAAATTATCATTTTGGGGAAGAATTGGAACGATAAAGATGAGTGTGTTACCAAAAATGTTGTTTCTGTTCCAAGCAATTCCAATAATTAAAGGAGTTGCAATATTTAAAGATTGGCAAAAAGTGATTTCAAGATATATATGGCAGGGCAAAAAGCCGAGAATAAAATTTAAGTTGTTAACAGATTTAAAAGAGAGGGGAGGCTTTGCCCTGCCAGATTTGAGGTTATACTATGAAGCATCATGTATATGTTGATTGAAAGAATGGATGAAATTAGAAAATACAGATTTGTTAGATTTGGAAGGATATGATCATAGATTCGGTTGGCACGCGTATTTATGGTACGAAAAGAAACGAGTGCATAAAGGTTTTGAAAATCATATTATTAGAGGATCTCTGATTGAGGTATGGGGTAGGTATAAAAACCTACTGGAACCAAAAATCCCACATTGGCTATCACCATTAGAGGTGATGAGTGTTAAAAAGATCAATATGTCTAGGAGGTGGATAACATATGGGAGTTTAATTGAGAAAGAGGGAAGTAAGTGGAAAATGAAACCATATGAAGAAGTGAAAGAACATGTAAATGTTTGGCTGCATTACTTTCAGATTAATGAAATGTTTAGAAAAGAGGTTGCAGAAAGAGGCTATTTTGAAAAAGAATCTAGGTTTCAATGAGAAGTATTGAATAATGAAGTTAAAAATTTATCTATGATGTATAAATTACTATTAGAATGGCATTTGAAGGATGATGAGGTTAAATCAGTTATGATTCAATGGGCCAAAGATTTTGGACATAACATTCAATTTGATGACTGGATAAAATTATGGAAGGAAGGGATGAGATTTACAGCATGCACCACAATTAAAGAAAATGTTATGAAAATGATATATTGATGGTATATAACACCAGTCAAATTAAGTAAGATGTATAAGGTGAGTAATAAATGTTGGAAATGTAAGGAGAAAGAAGGGACATTTTATCATATGTGGTGGGAATGTAAAAAAATGAAGTGCTTCTGGGAAATGATATATAATGAGATAAAGAAAATATTGAAATATACATTTGTTAAAAACCCAGAAGCATTCCTATTAGGAATTCTAGGTGGTGAGATAAAAAGGAAGGATCAGAAAGTATTTTTGTATGCAGTAACAGCAGCTAGAACTCTTTTGGCCCAGAAATGGAAACAAGAAGAAATGCCCACGATTGAAGAATGGAGAACGAAACTAATGGATTATGCAGAACTGGACAGATTAACAGGGAGGATTTGCAACCGACGGGACCAAAGATTCACTGAGGACTGGAATAAATATACAGAATATATTTAAAATATTTGTGATAATGATATAACATTTGTAAGTTTCCAAGAAGCTCTGTAAGAAGGTTTGGTAGAAATATTGTTTAAATAACATTGTAAGATAAGATATATATAGTGCAATATAAATTAAGAAATGTGAAGATATGTAATAAATACGGAAAATTATCAGACATGTTGATGGAAGTCTAAAAGAAAAAAGACGTGTGATGAGTTCCTAATGTTTAATTTTGTTATAAATTTGTTTTTATTGGAAAATTAATAATATATATATATCTCTATCTGCAGATATCCTCAAAACCCAACCTTTGTTCTTATTCTGTTCTAGTTCAGGGGCTTTTAGCTCCCATGGCAGGTTCCAACACAGAGCTTCACACTAGAACTTTTCTGCACCACAATGCGCCTCTGTGGAGCTTCCTATCAATACCCCCTTCGCCATCACAGGGTTATTCCAGTCCAAGCAGAGCTACATTTGTGTGAAGAAATAATGCCAGAAAGCTTTGCATCCTAGCTGATGTAGTTTTGACCTAGTTCATACAAAGTAGCAACTTAAGGTAAGTATCACAGATGGGCCACAGGATTGTTGACTCTGGTTCTCACCTTTCTCAGCTTCTATTGCTTCATTTAAGTAACAGGTTTCCTCCCATATTCGTTCTTCTAAAGACCTTTTGCCCAAACCAAAGTTTCTGAGTGTTGATAAGGCAAATCGTCTTTGTTGTTTCCAGCTGAGACCATTAGAGAAGACCAGCCCTAGATGGGAAGGAGTAATAAGTATGTACAGCAAGTAAGTAGATTTAGCAATCCTGTTAATTCCAAGATGGACTCCCCTCTGCTTTCCATTATTCTGCTTGCCTGCTCAGGACATGTTGGAAAGACTGCAAGGCATTAGAAACTAGCTAATTTGTGCTGGTGGCTTTTATCTGGTTGCTCTGAATTCTGCTGTTTGCTGTTTCATTGATTTCCTTTTTGTGTGTTTCACTGTTTGGGTAGAATTTTTAATACTAATTTTTTACTGTGGGAGCTCTTGATAGAAACGCAGCATATAGATTTTTATTTAAAAAGCAACAGTTTTAACAGTTGTAAAATCATACAGTCAATATATTTTACTCCTTCATTTCTGAGGTCCATTAGGCAACTCTGGTATTCCTTTTCTGGAATTAAAGGTAAAGGGACCCTTGACCATTAGGTCCAGTCGTGGCCGACTCTGGGGTTGCAGCACTCATCTCACTTTATTGGCCGAGGGAGCCGGCGTACAGCTTCCGGGTCATGTGGCCAGCATGACTAAGCCGCTTCTGGTGAACCAGAGCAGCACACGAAAATGCTGTTTACCTTCCTGCCGGAGCAGTACCTAGTTATCTACTTGCACTTTGACGTGCTTTCGAACTGCTAGGTTGGCAGGAGCAGGGACCAAACAACGGGCGCTCACCCCGTCACGGGGATT